ATGCAAAGAAAATGTCAAAGTCTAGGGTGAGTATCTTCTGTATTATGAATTACAGAACAGACTTAATACCGGAAACCCATTTGAATTTGTTTTACAGTGGCACATATAAAGGAGGCAGCAGCGACTGCATTCAAACAGCCCTGTCTAACCCCGTCCTGATGAATTATACATGGCTGATGGACGCCTCATGAGCAGCTGAGCAGGCTGAATTCCCAGGCTCACACAAATGAAGGTAATTGATTCCCTAAACTACTGCAGAGGCCAAAGGCTCTAGTCTTGGCAACAAATCGTCTGATGTCATAATCCTTTTGTTCACTTTTAACTTAACGTTAGAATTGAACTTGTGTGAGTGAAAGTTGAGGAATGAACAATTTGATGGATTGAGGTCAGCAACCAGCAGCGGTGCACTGGTGTCAGACCACTCACTTTCTCAAGTCTCTCAAAAAAGATGGAGAGGAATTTCAACAGGAGTTTCTTCAAACAACAAATCCCCAAATGTGATTTCATTCACTGTAAGTGCTGGGATTGATATCACACATCAGAAAGTTCTCATCACAGACTGTCACAGAATTTTTTCAAGTAGTTTCACCCAGATTTTATGTTTAAATACATGAAAAGGTTGTGTTGATATATGGGTGCTACTACTTCAGCTCAAGCTAAATGCTAACATTACATTTACCATACATGTTTGAACAATTGGACGTTAACATGCTGACATTTATTTGGCATGTAACATTTAACATCGTAACATGTGTAAAGTTAGCAAGCAATATTTAGCATGATTGAAAATGGTCAATATTTCATTGTATTGCAGATAGGGATGCAGCAGTTTACCATGGTATGAAACTTGACGGTTATCATGACATGTACATTTGCTTATCAGGATGGAAAGTCTCACCTTTTGTATTAATTTTCAAATGAGAGACTTTTTACACATACTTCCATTTAAAAAAAACATTTCAAGTTTTGTCAGGACATAATGTTTTGTGAAATTACAAGAAAGCATTTGTTCAACCCCCAAAAACAACTTCTGTTTTAAGAGTCACTGTAACTGATAATAATTGTGTAACACAGTGATACTGTGAAACTGGGATATTTTCTGAGACGGTTATCATACCATTAAAATGTAATAGATGCAGATGAAGAATCTTGCATATGTATTTCCTAAACAAATAAGAATGTGACTTAGGCAGTGACCAGCTAAGCTTAGTGGTACTAAATGAAGAGCTTTATTGGAGGCTATAGATACTGTACTCATTATGTTAAAAATTCCAGTTATGGTAATGAGCCCTGCTGGCGTAGTAAAGTATCCTACCTGTCTGAGGATGAAGCTGGTGGAGGTGGTGCTGCCGTCTGACCTCTTCAGTCGGCTGCGTCTGGAGTAAGTCCCTCTGTTAGCCTGGTGAGGACAAAGCACACACGCACAAACAAAATTCTCTTTTTCATTTTCTGTATTTGTGAATCTGTTATTGTTATCTTCCCTATATTTATCCCTTACTCTCTTCCACACTAACTCAAGGACACCTTCCCTCCAGCAGCCCCATTAAAAACAGCGTCTTATCCCCTGGGGTTTTACGGGGGTCTGGCTCTTTCCAGCTGCCACTTGTCCTCTGTGATGGCCTGATTATATGAAGTCCGTCTTTTACTGCTTTATTAATCACTGCCATACCAAAAACCATCATACATTTGTTTTACATGAGCATTGCTAAGCTGCACAGATTCACATTGTGTGACCCACTTTCATTTCTAGCCAATTTGTTTAAGTGCTTGAGGAGCAAGTGAGGTAACACTTCCTCCACAGATACAAGAGAGTGTGAAAAATGGCCAAGACGACGTTCTCATATTGTTTGTTTTGTCTGACCAACAGTCCAAATCCCAAAGATATTCAGTTGACAAAACACTCCCAACTCAAAGTCCACATACTTGCTTTTTCTGGAGCTTTCGACTGCGTCACACGGGCCGTTCTCTTAAGCAGACTGAACGTGCTCAGTTGCCATGGAGCTGTATGTTCAAACTTTCTATGATTTTACTTTCATATTAGACAAAAGCAGCAAATACATTTGAGAAGCTAGGACAAGGTAATGTTCAGCATTTATTGTGGCTTAAGTGATTATTAAAATACAGTAGTTAATTAGTACAGTAATTCATTTTCTAGTAAACAAATAATCTATTCATTAGCTAACTGTTACAGCTCTACAATCATCAGCATTCAATTATCATTTGTTAGTTAGTCCTTCAAATGCTGCCCGCGTTCTCTTGCAATTTTCAGACCCTCCACATACCATCTGTCTGTACAATGCATTTATCTCAGTAGCTTTTGTTAGCTCATTTTCCTCTATTATAACAAACTGCATGTACACTATAGTGTATATTCACTGTGCAACTGACTTCATTTAATATATGCAGCCAAGCACAATACGGTGTTTTACCATATAGTACTGTCATTGTGCAGTATATCCAGTATATATTTATCTATCTCATTTGTTTCATGATTGATGTGATGTTGCTGCTGTGAAGCTGCATTTTCCCTTTGGGATTGGCAAATTACTCAACAATCTATTAGGAATACATGCAGAGTTTTGTCATTTAATCAATAAGTCAATCAAAAGTTCAGTTAATCTGCAAAAATTTTGAGTTTTATCAATAAAGAAAAGCCTTACTGCATCTTCTGTGAGATGATACAAGCATGTAGACCATCAGAGATTTCGCCATACCTTTTATTCTGTGGTTAACAACCCCATTAATGTTTCATGTTATATTAGGTCTTTGTGGACAATACTGCATATCAATAAGCAGGTCTGATTTTTAGCTATACCAGATCTTTATATGATCAGTCATTGCACCAATGAGATAACATATCTTGATCTGTCCATAGTGCTTATTTAATCCATCAGATTTGTCTGAATGTATTTATGGTACTGATGCAGTAGAGATACACATTACGGCCCTGTTCAGTATAAACTCTGTGCACAGTGCTAGAAATCTATTTCTTCTGTGGGAAAGTGACTTGAAGTTGGACCACCTCCTGCATCATGAGTGGAGTTTCATCAGAAAATGCTTAATAATTAAAAACCCAATTTCATTTCTTTTTTAATTTTCATCATACTGCAGCACCTGTGCCACTGTTTGATTAATGGCACCTCAGGGGCTCATCAGGAACGATGAAAAATGTAGCTTCAGTTAACAGAGAGCAGTAGGCTACTACACTTAGTTTGTCTGCAGAAAAATCTATTTCCAATGTTGTTGTTATTAGGAGTGTAAAAATTGTTCTCTTATAACAATAGGCTATATTATTTTCCTATCAATGTTATTATTAATAATATTTGTGTGGGATATTTGTATCCGTTCGTATAATTCATTGAAATAATTGTAAGATATGACAAAACAAGAGAAGAAGAGGCTCCATGATTTCACGCGATTGTTCTTACCTGAAACGCGGGCTTCTGCAGCCCGTCTCCTATCCCGTGTCGGGTGTAGATGTGCCGGGACATCTCAGCCAGTTCGTCGGTCCAGGGCGGAGGCTGCCGCTCCGTGCCGCTCCACTGGAACTGCTGCTGCTCCGGTGGCGGACAGTGGACCGCCGGATCCAGTTTTGCTCCGGTTCTGCTTCACAACACCTAAGAGAAAACACTTGTACTGTACTACGGCCGCTCGACTCTGAGGTTGTGTCCCACTCTACACGGATGTAGCCCATGTATAAGTGCGACCAGATACTGACCCTCCCCTCCAATCCCAGCACACAGAGCTTCTGTAGTGCTGCGTTCAACGACGACGCAGAAATTCTAAATAGCATTTCAACTTGAGATACTAATAGGACAAACACAATTTTGTTCTCATTTTTCTTTTGTCTATTTTCTCATTTTCTTTTACAATGTCCATCTTCATTGCTCCATATTCCACATCCCATCTTTATGACTTTTTTTTGTGCAGGCTAAATTATTTATGGAGGCAAATCAGATTTATATAAGTTGTGAACTCAATCCAATTATTCTAACCCAATAAAACATTTGCATACACCAAAGATGAATTTGGTTAAGCTAACATTAGTAGCCTAACCCTGCATGAAATCAAAGATGTGGCATCTAGGCAGAGAACAAAATAAGATGGGCCTATAAAAGTGTTTGTGTTATTTATTTTTAAATATATATATATATTTTTTTATGTAGCTCTCCTGTACTGGTACAAACCAAACAAGTTGCCCTGGAGAAAGTATGAACAAATCAAATTAAACGTTGTTAGGCCTAAAATAAAACAAACTCCAAAAAAGATACTTAATTACAGTAGCTATACTTGCTTTTGAATTTATGATTAAAATGATTTAAATCTTTATTTACATTTCTGAAATTTTATGGGGAGCATTTGAAGGCAGCTTAAACTATCAGCATTACCTGGCATAGTTTATGCAAATTCATTCTCTTCAAGGTATAAAAAATAGTGGAGGCTAGATAAAAAAACAAAATCCCAAGTAAACCCGAGAGAGAGAGAGAGAGAAAGAATAGTATTTGTAGCCCAACACTTTATACTGATTTAGCGCTGCATTCTTCAGCCCAGTTTTATCTGAGCAAATTAACTAGGATAAACAACAGATGATAAAATCTCTTGTCTTCCTCACCAGACAGTGCTACCAGCCGCCCTGTTTTCAAAAAATCCCACACAGAAAGCCTTTACACTGTGTACATGTCCTGATGGCATCCTGGAGAACAGCCCATGGTGTCTGTCTCAAACATTAAATTGAACAGTTTTTACCTGCACTTCACCACCAGAGTAACACTGGCATTTAAAAGTCCCCAGTGCATCTTTTTGAAAAGTAAAGAGAAGAAACCATAAAAAGGCCAAGTTCAATAAATAAATCATGCCTCCTCATGTGGCTGGTGATATGTGCAGGGGATAGGAGAGCTAATTAGGTGGACAGTTACTATTTTAATCCTGTTGCGCTTAATTGTATAAATGTAATTACTTAAAGGCATCCATAGGGAAATGTAGGTAGAAACCACCCTCAATGAAAGGTACATTTTTTTTTATTTCAAAGAACATTATAAGTTTGCTCTGTTACAAAAGCAGTTTTAAAATCCTGGGTAAAGGATATTTTCCTGGAATATTTTAAATATACAGAATTATACATATGCAGCAGATTCTGAGACTGAAGTTACTTGCCCAAGTTGTGTCCTGGTCATTCTTTGATTTATACAGAAAAACAAGGCATCCAGTGGTAAATTAATGTTTACAAAGCTAAGGTGCAATGTCACTGACAAAACCAGTTATTCATATACATCTAATATACAAAGCCTTTAATATGAGGCGCGAAAAGGAAAAAGACAGTTCTGACTAAAAAAATAACTACGGATCTACTGCAACAGGACTGTAAACTCTATAAAAGCTAGTTCTTAATTTTAACCCCTAAACTGCAGACAAACCAATAGTAGGTTTAAAACATGTCTCGCTTTCTTCTTATTAACGGCAACTAAAGACTTCTGAAGTTTTTGAACATTTTGCCTGGACAATGAAAGTAAAAGCAGAAGCACAGTAATAATTACACATTCTCCAACCAAGTAAATTACACATGTATAATGTCTCTGTCATATATATATATATATATATATATATATATATATATCTCAAAGTACAGGCAATGTCATTGATTTTTTTTTTCAATTTTGAAATTTAAGTAAATAGACATGAAATTCAGATTCGTGTTTTTGCATAAAACATGGATTCCTAACAAGTTCCGCTAAGCAGAAGAGACTCCACACAAAGATAGGAGGCAGGAAGGTACTGATATTAATCGTGAACAGGTGCTGCATTTCATCAGATTAATAAACACAAAAGAGATCCAACTAACCATTTCTCAACCTAATTACGAAACGCTGCTCAATGAAGTCATACAATGTAAAATCTGATTATCCTTGTGAAAATCAGTATCATTTTACAATGATGAAGAACCTATTATGGGTAAGCCCTCAAACCCTTACATAGGTAAAACATACATACATGTGCACACACACACATACACACAAAAAATATCAACTTAAATATATCAAATGCAACCACAGAATGCATTAAAAGGCAATGAGTTTATGGGAAAGTCATTTTTGAACCATTTACACAAATATAACTGTTAACACACATATCTGATGGTTGAAAATATCGTTTATACTTCAGAAATTCTGTTCAAAACAGATCAGCTCCAGTGATGGATGCTGGTGAGGGAAGGAAACCAAGATGGTCACTAAAAGCTAAAAGGAAAACAACACATTTAGGCCATAATCACATTGCTGTAGATATATTTGAAAATGCCTTTTAGTGTCACTAGTTATAGCGCTAGTATATCGTGTATGTCTGCAAAGGCTGACGGCCATTCATGAGCGCCTTGGAACAGCTCAGTTTTCCCTGTACAAACTACAACGTGAGACTGGTGTTTCCAATTTGATTTATGAATGCTTTCAAAAAGTTGTGTTTTTATCGGCTTGCACACAGTCTATACTGGACACGTTTCAGCCGTGATCTATACCACTGTCTAAAGCAGTAGTACACAGCGTTTTACATGCAGACCTGCAATTTTAGTCTATTTTATACCAATCTGCACAAATAATTACACTGATCTTGCATTTTGCTACATTTGTCTACTGCACAACAGTACTGTGGCTGAAAGTATCCAGTGTAGAAGCTGACAGGGGACTGCAGCTGCTCCACTGCGGTGTAGACAAGGTAGTGTCAATAGATGGCCACAAGTGAGAGAAAATTCAGCATTACTTCACATTTATCTACATGAGAGTGGACATTTCCCGAGCCTCTGTTACCACCTTAGAAGATGTTCTTTGAAGGGGGTCAATTCAGAAATAGCATTGTGTGGGAGTAGCGTTGAGTTGAACTGTGGATTGTAAAATTTCTTCAGAATTAGGCAACGACTGCTCATTACATGGCCGTGGTAATGGTGAGCAAACCTAACTTTTCTTCTGTGTTGACCTGCAACGTTTATGAAGACCAGCGCCGCATTTACTGTCTGCCAGGAAAAAGAAGTGACGGACAGGAGAAAACTCCTGACACCATGTTAAGCCTCACATACAGAAGCTGAGGACATGCACACAGAGAGAGTCCTGACTCAGTGAACAACAGACCTGCATCAGATACACACCTCAGTTGTTTCAACTTTTGTGAGGTGTGTTCAATTCAGCTCAGGCACAAAAATGGCTAAAGGAATGTTCCCAAAGCAATTGCCACACACACAGTCACACACACAGTCACACACACAGTCACACACACAGTCACACGAGGTAAGCCTAACGAACACACCACTGGAAACTGAAATATCTGGAGTATGTATTAATTTTAGGTCTGCTGTCAGTTGGAGTTTTACAGCAGAGGCTGCTGATAATATGCTGCCTGCTGCTGCTGCTGCTGATGAGGAGCCTGGTGAGGAGGAGCAGCCACAGGATAGGACACAGGAGCCATGCTGGAGTTGTGATAGGTCGACATGTCCATGGCCACGCCCGCATGGGGTGGGTAAGGAGCTCCAGCAGCTTGGTTCATGTACTGAGCATTCATACCACTGCTGTAAAAAAAAAAATACAGATGTGACACTTAGCACCAACACCAAATACAGAAAGTGAGTCTCAACATGTAGCTACAAACAATGGAGTTGGTGCTGATCAGTGTTGTACAGCAGTTACTTTAAAACGAAAATTACCAACCACAGAAACGAAAGAAGGCATCAGAAGGAGATTTTATGTATGACCCTTGAGCCGGTTGAGGCAAAAGAAGGTCAAGTTAGAAATACGTAGGAGAAATGTGATGCTACCAAGCTGACCGATCACAGTTCTTGCTGTCTGCATTGCCGCGATGTGAAGATACATTTTTGGGGAGGTGCTACGCTGTAGCCTGATGAGCACCTGATGTAACAGTTGAACACAGTTCACTGCACTGAACAGAAACTTTATGGGTGATTTGCAGACATTTTCCATAACATCATATAAACTTATATTGGAAAATGATAAAGTATATAATGATACTGTATTTCATTGAGCTCTAATACAATCTATATTTGATTTAAAGCTACAATAAATATATCTTATTACCTCCAAAACCAACACAACATACCATATTATTATGATGAACAGTGATGCAAAAATAACTTTCTGTTAACCTGATTTGAAAAACCAGAGTCAATATACTTATTTGTTTCTATCGTTTCAGATTTTCCCATAAAATGCCCATTTTTTAAGTAGACCTTAATTTCTGAAGTATTACAAATTCACAGTGGTAAAAATAAAAACTTGTTCATAACATAGTTAAGCCCCTTATCTGTACTAGTCTATGCCACTGACATTACCAGTACACTACCTGACCTGTTAACTAACCAATATTCAAAACTAGTAGCTCATTAATGCTAAAAGATCTGAGGCGTCGAGCCACCTTTATCAGTCGCATGATGTGACCCACGTCATTATTTGTATTTGGCGTGTCTCTGCAGAGTTTTTAAATCTGATTTGTGAGGTCCTGTTTACAGTGGTGGGGCTGTAATTCTTACCTCATGTAGGGAGGCTGAACAGCTTGGCCGTTGGGTGGGGCTGAGACGTTGGGGGGCAGTGAGTGCAGTGGTCCGGGCTGGTCGGTGGGCAGAGCGTAGGGCTGCGCAGGAGGACCCTGGGGCATTGCAGGAGGCATGTAGGTAGGGCCGGCCGGGCCAAGGTAGCCCTGAAGATAACACAGAAAGAGGAGCATATCGGCTTTAATAAGTGCTGAGAGCATCATTGTTACGGCAACAGCAAACACTCGAACCCTTTAAGCGTTCTCGCTGTATGCTTGTAGTTCCCCGGATGTAGTGCCCCTATCACTTCCTGGTTCCCGTTTTGATGATCTTGATTGGAGCAGCACCCGGTCCAGGGATTCAATGCAGAGGATGTGATTCGGGGACTAAGAAGCTATAAATGCTTGGCCAGCTTGACTGTGGAGGCGGCTGGGGTTTTGAGCTCGCTAATATGACTCATTATTGTTTCAGGCTGTTGGATATTAATTGTTCAAATTCTGTGAAACTAGTATTGAGGTTATCCTTAACTACCTAGGGACTGGGCTAGTGTTAAGAAACACTAGAAGGAGGGGTGCTGTTTTGACTGTTTTTATGGTCAGATCAGTCTTATTTATTTTGAACAACATGCACAGGTTCTTTTCCCTTTGTAGTTTGCCTCGTGTATTTTTGGTTTTATCTGCATTCTTTGCAAATAAACAGAGAAATTTCAAAATAAAAGTACAAACAAAATGTTTTATAAACTGTAAATACTACAAAGCAAACACCCAGTCACAACATACAGAAATAAGTAGTATTTAAAGAAATTGTTTGACATTTTGGGTAACACGTACTTGGATTTGATGTGACTTCAGATTTCAGACTCCAGTAAGTCACTATGCCAATTGGTCTTCGTGCTAAGCTAAGCTGAGCTGAGCTAAGGGTTGCTGGCTGTAGCTTCACATTTAGCGTACAGGCATGACAGTGGTTTAATAAATCCTCATCCAACTCTTGGCAAGAAAGTGAATAAGTGTATTTCCCGATTGTCAAACTATTCCTGTAAGCCCTAATTAAGTACAAAAACGACAACACATTTAATTGAACTATTATAAAACCTCAAATGTCTAAGTTCTCATATCCTCTCAAATGTTGTTTCTTTGTTTCTGACCTTATAAACCCCAAGAGTTTCTTTGCATTTCCTCAGAAAGTTAACATAAACTGTCTGTCTCAGGTTGACCCTAGCAAGTCTAATAAAAATACATCATTCAATATTTGGCTGGGAGTTAGACACAGAATGTGAGACATAAAACACCCAGCCATGTTGCATGAATAAAGTGAAGAATATTCCAGTTACTTTTCACACTTTCAAATTATAAGGAACAGCATCAGCAACACAGATATACAATAGCTGTTTTATAATATAAGATGATATCAAATATGAACAGTATAAGAATTTTACTTTTCTAATTCTACTGTATAACAGAATCCTTGTTACTGCAGGTGGACTAACCATCTGGTGGGGAGCTTTACAGTACTTGCAAAAAAAAAAAAGAAAAATGAACGATGAAGGGCAAAAAACGAACACAGAAAGAACAAGTAGCACTCTGGTGTGGGCCTGCCCAATGAAGTCGACATTTCTCTAAATCTCAGGGGAGAGACAGTGACATCAATCACTGCAGAGAAACAGCCTCTGCCAAGAAAATCCAGGCAGCCGCCAACTCTCCAGGGAGGAAAAAAAGGGTTGACTGAATGTCAAGCTATCAGGACGAGTACAAGGAACAACAAAATCAACTGCTTTACTGGCCAAATATAACACACGAGTAGAGGATGTGAGAAATGAAATATGAGAATAATAGCAAGGTATATTTCTTCTGACTGCTCTTAATGATTTTCTCTACATTAGTCTTCAATTGTCTCCATGACCTGAAAAACATCACATCAGGAAATCAATGGAATTAATTAAGAGTGAAAGTCTACTCAGTGTTGACCTTAATTATGCAGGGTACTCATGGGTGGCCACAATGGGAGTTAACACATTTTGTCAAAACAAACCTCTTCTTTAACACAGAAAATATTCAGCGTTCTGTCAACCAACCGTTAACTGAATCCACCTTAAATTATGTATGACTTGGTACTGCTTTATATTGACTCGACGGTCAACACGCATCACAAAACAGAGACGAAGATGACTGCAGCACAACAGCAAGCTTGAATGTTGTGATTTTGATGGTGTGAAGTTTTCCAAGCATACATGAATTCAACGTATGCTTTTTATAGGGAAATTAAGCCCAATCATCTGCCAAACTTAATTTATGTGTGCAAGTTGCCTATCATTTAGACAGGAGACATACTGTAAAACTAGCTACAGTTTCTGTGGCATTACACTTTAACCATATTCATGTCGCTACAGAAGAAGCAAACTCTTCGGAGAACACCAAATCCAAACTAAAATACTTTCCTTATGTCATAACACCAACACTTGTCCTGTCATTGCTAGTGTAGACAGTATTGATACATGAGCCAGCCAATGGCAATCCAGTCTAAAAATGCAGAATGAGCTAGGTACTCATGTTATTTTGTACTTTGTCTTGGGACCTTATCATTTGGCTGTGTACCGCTGTTTTGTGGTTGGCTAGCTGGCTGGCTAACTGATCTAGACAGGCTTAGACATGTTTTAATGTACTATGATGCACATCGACATAAATGAAATGTTTAAGTATAAATGCTAAAGATTAAATGATTGCTCAAGTGAGAATTTGGGCAGCACAGAGGACAACTTTGGGGCATTTTCCTGACCTGCATGGCTACAGCTTGGTTGCCGGTTGGTGCGTACTGCGCCTGCATCTTGGAGTAGGCAGAGTAGAACGGAGCCTCGTTCATGAGCTTGTTGTAAAGCTCCAGGGCCTCCAGAACTTTCACATTCAACTCTGACCACTCTGAGTGTTTCCTGCAAAACAGAGAGAGGCAGTTATTAGATAAGAATATTTTTATTTGTGTCCTACAGATTTCCCCACTGGTCTTTCAAAGTCTCAACAGCTAATTGTTGCTATCTTTATCCTACATTTCATAAATGCTGATGGATGTTAGATAATCTCAGACTAGAAGTGGAAGAGAAAGTACTATAAAAGTACAATTAGTTTGATTAACTTTTACTTAAGTAAAAGTAAAATTACTGGTATAAAAATCTACTCAAGTAAAAAGTAGCTCATTTAAAATGTACTCAGAGTAAACATTACTTTGTTCCTTTTCTAACCTCCTAACTTATTTATAATGATTTAATATTAAATTTATACTTATTTAATTAAGTTGCAGTCTTTTGTGTTTTGATAACGGACAAAGCCATATCGCCCTTTAGATTTTAGTTCGTTTGACAGATATTTTGCCAAAGCAATGGCACAAAACAACATTAGAGACCTTTTATGTTCAAATGCATCCAGCATGTCATTCATTAACTTTCCACCTCTGTCTCGGACACTTAGATGAGCCTTAAATCAGTAATAATAATGTTCACATCTATAAACACACTACCTGTCAATCTCCTGTAGCTTCTCATCAATCAGCGGGTTCATCTGTTCACATGCACCTGTTCAGATATTTACAGTTAGGAAGGGAGAAAAAAAACAGAGTTAGAAAACAATAGTGTAGCTCACATTGCATAGCAGAGCAACTAGATTTACACCAGCTTTAAGGTTTATACCCTCCAGCTGGATCAGCTCTAGGGAGTCTGGAGCCGGATCTGCAGGATCTGCATTCTGCAGTAGTGCCAGTGTTCTGTCCATCTTCCCCTGTGTGGGGGGGGGGAGGAAAGAAAGAAAGAAAGAAAGAAAAAGAGAGAGAGAGAGAGAGCGCAAGTTTGGGTTGGTAGTCTGACTGAGAGGTAATTTGGGTTTGTAAAAGATGTGCACTGAGTAAATGTAGTACCTCGTCAATGAAGACGGGCTCAGGCTCGACTTTGGTTTCCAGAGTTGTCTCTTCAGGACTGGCTGTCATTTCAACATAAGCCACTGTGGAGGAAAAGGACTACCTCAATAAGCACTTCTGAAACTAATTTGCTCCAGTTTAAAATAGCTGAAGAGCACAGAGGCTGGTATGTTTTCTAAAAGGTTACAATGTTTACTTTCAGATTCAACAGAAAGACTCACCTGTCTCTGGCTCAGCATTCAGATTGGTTGTGACAAAGTTGGAGGGGAAAAGCCCCACTCCTCTGTGGTTCTCTCCTTTCCACCAGTTTGGATCGCTATAAACAAAAATCACAAAAAAGGCATTAACATCAATGTATGAGCTTCTAAGAGGGAGCCATACTGAGTTTCAGAGTTTCCGACCAGACAGAGCCATCACAATACAAAAAAACCCTTATTAACTGCTAAATGGGTCATGCCGGTGTGTTCCTTACTTTATTTGTGGAACAGACAAAAGGTAGGATTTATTGCATAGGTGTTGCAATAGACTGCATGTAGCAAAAAAATATATATATATAAAATCCTGCTTGCCTGCATTTCATAATCTAAGAATATCACAAATTTGATTGATTGATTAATCCAGTGGTCAAATGAGTTGCCTTATTTTGATAATATTGTCAAGCAAAATTGTCAAAACATTTGCTGGTTCCAGCTTCTTAAATGTAAATAATTTGCTGCTTTTCTCAACAATATTTAATCAGCAGAATAATCGGCAATTGTTGCAGCTCTAGTCTGAAGGAAACTGATCAGGTAGTCTGCAACAGAAATGGTAGAGCACAAAAATTGCTATTTTTAAGATAAAGCAGAGCTGATTCATGATTGGACAAGTTATGAAACAATACCTGTCATCCAAAACCAGAATAAGTTCTCCAGTTTTGAAGGTCAGCTCATTATCTTCAGCTGCTTCAAAATCGTACAGCGCACGCACCTTCCGGGCCTCTTGCCCCCCACTACCGTTGGTGCAGTTTGGGGGGTCAGAAGACACAGTCAGGGGCCGTGTCTCCGCCTGCTGCTTCTGCTCCTGCAAGGACAGCTCGATGGCTGGGAGAGGTGGAGGTTTGGATGGGAGGAAGAGAGAACAGAAGACAAGTGGAAAGGAGAAGAGGATGTTTGTCAAACGACCAACGCGTAGTCTTGGCACAGACACAGGATTGATCTCCCCCCCCAAAATACAAACAGTTCTCAGAAGACTGCTTAAATGTAAGGTGAAAATAATGGGAACATAAAATCTAGACAATAATCAATTTAAACTGTTCTACTGCTTAGAAAAAGGAGTACTTTTCTGAGAATACTGGTATACACTGATAACATTTAGCCTTAAATATACAGTGCAGCAGTTGGAAAGTATGTATCTGTTGTAGAAAATGATGCTTAAAACAACAGATGAAGTGCACTAATGATGATAAAGGTGCATGTACAGTTTAATGATGCAGTCTCACTTTACCTTTGGCCAGGTTGTCATCATCTGATGCTTTGCCCGCAGCAGGTGTGCTGACCTTCGTGGAGGACCCCTGTGGCCAATATAGAAAGATAAGGTCACATCTCTGTGCGTGTGTGTACATATACAGGAGGGAGTGAGAGTGTAGTGTAAAACTGATTTCCAGTGACTGTAATGCCACCTGCAGTTCATGTTGGGTACTACTGGTTGGTCAGAGATGTGGCACTAGCCTTTGGAGAGAAACCTTCCACACAGCTGTCTCATTACCTTTTGTCTAAGGTAACCTGAGGCAGCTCTGTGACACGGCAATGAGGTCAACGTGGACAAAACAGGTCAACTGTACTAAAAAAAACAACTCCTCACACACATATTCACAGCAGGCGAACTAATGCTGGTAGTATTACAGAAACTATTACAGAAAGTATTACAGAGGCTGGTCCATTGTCTTTGTTCCACATACAGTATAAATGCTAATTTTACATACGGAAGATTTACAGGGTGTAGGATGCAAGCTGTAATTTCCCCCTAATTTGGAACACAAATCAAATGTTTATGGTATGATGTATTTTGAATAAAGACGGGACAAGTCACAAGTGAGATTTAAGCAAATCATTGCAGAACTTGAAGAGATTAGAACCAATAAGTCTAGTCTTGAGTTGTAAAACAAAAACAAATGATTCCCCATCCAGGTAATAGAACTTCTAAACAATGTGATATCAGAACAGCAAATACACCTGAGCAAACACACAGCGGATTTATGCATATGTTAGTACACAGTGCCCGAAAGTGCTTCATGGGCAAATGCCTTAAGCTCACAAAATCAAAAAATAATCGGCGCATTACAGAGCACCAGAAATACATACACCTTTATATTACATTACAATGTCATCTATAGGCACCCTCCAAAAGCTGGTGACTAGAAGAGTGCCAGTTCGTGATTGTGGCAACTTTAACCTATAGACTGTGCAGGCATGAAAACCAAAAGAGTGGTCAACAACATGGAATGAAAAACTCATTTGTTTGGCTTGAAACAAGTGTGACCGAAAACAGACAAAAAAAGACACCTAAAAAGGACTTTAAGTATAACCTTATAGCTAAAGGTAAATATCACATTTGGTTTGGTTTAGTGAAATACGTTCTCTGCATTTAAACCATCACAAGCCAGTGCACTGATCAAAGGGTACTGACATGAACAATCTATTTTTTTGATGATGGACCACGCAAACACGGGGAGAACATGCAAACTCCACACAGACTGGGAATCAAACCTGGGACCCTCTTGCTGTGAGGCGCTGAACACTGCTGCCATAAATGCTATAAATACAAAGAAGCATTGCCACAGCTTGAGTCCCACTACCTGCTGCTGTTTGCTCATCAGCTGGCAGAGATTAAATGTCATACCTGCTGCCTCTTGTGCCACCTGCTCCCCATTAAAACAGATTTCACAGCACACCACCACAACCAAACAGCCAGTGGTGACAAAGGGAGGATGGGACAGCATATGACATCCAAGACATCTCTGATCATTCCTATTCTGGATAAAATCTAATACAATCTAAATACAACAGCTCTGCCATAAAACCACCACAAAACACCTCTCAATATAATGCAGGCTAATAAAATGCTGAATGCAAGAATGAACCTGCTCCCTTCTGTCTAAATGAATAAACACAGGGTATGGGTTTATAAATTTGCCTTTTAAGAGGTAATCAGTGTTTCTGTATGTTAGCAAATGTGTTTCACAACTTCACAGAGCATGCATAATTTGACAGTAAATAACACATGGGGAAAGACAAATAAAGTGAAAAATACGTCATACCTCAGTATACACAATTTGTGTTGATGTCTGACTTGCTCAGTAATTTCTCTTTTCTCCCTTAAAACACACATCTGGAGTGACAAAATCAATGTCTAAAGAAGCAAAGCTCCCACTAAGTAACACAAACTATTAGCCAAAGAGGGACTACAACCACAGATGAAACAGATGTAGGTCAGCTCCTTTATGACAACCTGAGAGCAAAGCTTACTTCAACCCTTGAAACATGTAAGGTTGTTGTATAACAATTCATACAGATATTAAACACACAAAGAATAGACCATAAAACAAGAAGAGAACACCCGTCCCCAACGATCATAAAGACAATCCTGGTCCTGAGACATACGCACATTCCTGCAGAATTATGTAAAATATGTCAAAAGGAAATTGCACAGTAAAAGACTTGCCACACAAACGCAGACGGAAGAGCGCTACTAAACCTGAGCCTTCACACTGGCAACACACTGGTCTGCAATGAAACTACAGCCATAACTGCTGCTTCAGGCTCACCACTCCACAAAAAGCCTCCACACACACTTATTTTGTTATTGTGGTCTACGGACTGGAACTGTAATTAAAAGGAAGAAAACTAGCAAAACAAAGCAGCGTGAAAGAACTGGTAAAACTACAGGGGAGGAGGAAAAGAAGGTCAAACGCAACATTGTGATTCCATACGTGTCTGGAGTATCAGAGAAACTCAGGAGGATTTTTAACAAACATAACATCCCTGTGTTTTTTAAACCCAAGAACACACTAAGACAGATACTGGTACACCCCAAAGACCGCACACCCAAACACAAGAAAAGCAATCTAGTGTATGCGGTCCAATGCAGTGAGGAATGCACAGACCTGTATATTGGGGAGACTAAACAACCACTACACAAACGCATGGCTCAACACAGAAGGGCCAACTCCTCAGGTCAAGACTCTGCAGTCTACTTACATCTGAAGGACAGAGGACACTCGTTTGAGGACCACCAGGTGCACATTTTAGACAGAGAAGATGGATGGTTTGAAAGAGGTGTCAAGGAAGCCATCTACACCAGGGTTGAGAAGCCGTCATTGAACAGGGGAGGGGGTCTACGCCACCACTTATCCCCCACTTACAATGCTGTCCTTTCATCACTTCCCAGGAAACTCAACAAACGTAACCTATTGGCCTCAGGTGAAGATACCAACGATGGTCGTTCAGTCTTGGCCACAGGTAGTCTTAACGACTGTAACGACTGTCGTCACAGCAACAAGGAACATTAACGAACCAGCGGTATCGATGACCCGAGATAACGACCCCACTGAGGTTAAATAGCTGAGTTTCCCTGCCAGTCAGTCAGAACTGAAGAAGTCCTTCGGATGAGGGACGAAACGTCTTCCAGTATCTTCAACCAAGTCCAGTTGCCCTTGATTTTAACCTTCGTTGGATAAGAACCGGTAACTCATTACATCTGCTGAATGACATTCAAGTCAAAACATGCAGTTTCCAGCATATGAGACAAAGTGTTACGACGCAACTGGATTTAACAAAATGCTGCTAAATCTGGCGGTGGCTGAAAGGTCTTCCATGCCAACAGCCACTTTGGAAAGCAACAAAATTGTAGTAGAGCTGGCTGGTATCATGGTGAAAGTAGCAAATGGAAAACATTTTATTCTTTCAAAGAAGTGGACTAAATCATAAAGGCTCGACATGAATAAAAGTGTTTGGCAAATTCAATATGTTTAGGGATGCACCGAAATGAAAATTCTTGGCTGAAGCCGAATATAATGAAAAACTTTCCCAAATACCGAACAAGGTTTTTCACAGAGACTACGGTGGGTGGGTCAGAGGCCCAAGAGGGTCTGGTAAAGTAAATTACATGTGTCCATTTACTCTTCATGTACACATGTAATATGTTTTATACTTTCTGTGAATATAATCCAATTCATCTTTTTTCCATACTTATTTAGAAAGCGGACGTTGTCACATGTGTATCCTCGCGCTAAATTCATCAAGTCTGACCAAATTTGATAAATAACGTTGTATGTGGTTCTCGTGTCGCGTAACATGAAGACTTCATAGCCTCTCTTCAGGTAGGACTCTCATACTGCAACACTTGTCTTTGTAAAGAGAGAAAATGACAGGAGAAAGTCACTAACCTGCTGGTCAGCTTGCACTGGTCCGTTATAGTGGATTTACCATAAATGCAAGAATACGTGTGCAGTCCAAATTTAGGTGCGGCTAGCTTAATCACCTTCTCACAAACGAGTGACAGAAACCCTCAAAGTGGGTCAGACTGTTTGTTGCCTTTTCTAAGAAGTCAGCCACAGATGGAGTGGATGTGCTGCGAGACAATTCAGCAGAAAAGTGTCTGCAAACAGCGATTTTGCGTCTTTGTCAGACACTTTAAAATGCTTCCACACTGCAGACATGTCAACGTAATTGTTCGGTAAAATTTGTTTGGTCTTTCGACTTATTAGGCCGATTCATTTCGGTTGCTGAACATTCTGTGCATCCCTAAATGTGTTCAAGATATTTCTTTGTGTACAAAGGAGGCATCTTGGATTTCTTAACTGTGATGGTTAAATCAGGAACCAGATGTTGAAAAAACAACAGGGAATAAGATGGTATAATTGAAGTTTCAACCTTGTACCCATTGATTGATTCAATTTAAATGTACCATGTAAAAGATATAAATAATGGTTGTAATGTTGTCTTGTAAGATTTGTACTTTTTGTCATTTATGCATATCTGATAACACTACAATATACTATAAATAATGCAGTGTATATGAAGAAAAGGGGGGTGGGGGGCATCAGATAACACCCTGATGAATGATAAATTCAAGACAGCATTTGATTTGCTTTGCTTCTTTTGCTTTGTGTACATCTTGTAAATTAGAAATTTACATTTTTTATGTCATCATACCAGTGAGGATGCAGAGGGGAAGCTGATGCCCTCGTCTTTCAGAGACTTGATGGTGGCACCGATCAGACTGAGCTGTGGGTCCTTCTGGAAGTCTTCTGCCCACTCCACCATCAGAGCCTTGAGCTTTTCACACACCTTAGGGTGGGCCTACAGAGGACATGCAAACAAACAGCTGTGTTGCTTTCTCCTGTGTTTTCATGCCAGTAGGATACTCTAGGGCTCTTAAAGGACAGTAGATGGTTGGGGAGGAGGAGAGGGGATTTTTTTTTTTAATACATACTTTGCTCAGCACACTCCGTACTTCACTGGCAAATTCCCTGGAGCAGATTTCCAAGTGGAATATTTTGCCACAGTTTGACACACAGGCACCCAGCAACTGCAAGAGAAGTAGTCAGAATTATAAAAATTAGATTAAACAGCTGGTATATAGTGAATTATCGCAAAAAAGGATCAGTTTTCAATGCGTTTCTTTTCTACCCCTCACTTTACTGAATTATTTAAATACACATTAATAGTAGGTGACACTTTTGTAATTCTAAATGGTTTTGATGATGAGAGGGTTATAATTATCTGAATGGATGGACGCAGAGATCTAAATATAGAGCAGGGCCATGCGACAGTATTTGCTCATGATGACTCAGACGCAGAAACAAGCTCTCATATTGTACATCTGAGATAAACCCTCTGAGTATTAAATCTTCCACTTTCCTGTATGGCTTTAACAATATGACTATTAAAATCAATTACAGCAGCAAGCTCAATTGCTGCTAAATTGCATTGGTAAACACTGATTTCTTACACCTAAATGGGACAGAAGAGTTTGACCATCCCCAAATCTTCCTTTTTTCAAGGATAATTTTGTATCCTTGGGTTTTAAATGGTGATTTTGGACATCTGCGGCAGCCATATGACACAAAATATGCAATATGTCTGGGAAAACCCTGGTACTGTAGCTGCCTGTCTGTTATTTCCATTTTGAGCAAAACTATTTGCATATGAACAGGTTTTTGCAGTAGAGTTGTTGATGGCATGTCTGCCGTATCCAAGACGTGTGTACATTTGGTGGCATGAATGTATAGCAGCAACTCACGTTGAGGGCCTGCATGGCGACATGAGGCACTTTGTGGTTGACTCTCTTCATAATGGATCTCAAGCTGTCCTTTGGTCTGAAACAGAAGAGAAAGTAATATGATTAATTGCTAGTACAACAATTACTAAAAAACAAACAGTGCCCTTACACGAGACATGCTCCTGCACAGGTCCAGTGTAAACTAATTTTAAACTCAAATTCTCATACAGATGCACTGTACATACATAAGGAACCGTTTCAACCACAGTGCTGCTCAAATGCTAATGACCTCTTATTACTCAAAGGTAAAAGCCATTTTCCAGCTTACCCATTGGTTGTTGTTCCAATCTTGTCACAGATGTCCATAATGAGTCCCCAGTCATCTGTTGTGTTGTTTTCATTGGTTGCCTTCTCTGGAAATATGTCAAACAGGGAGACAGTGCATATGGTCGAGTGAGAAAAATGTCTTCACTGGCTGCTTGTCTTCAGACATAATGTATTCATGGGCAGACATGCCAGTCACAGTGGGAAAGTGTTATAGCTATGAATAGCAAGTGCTGAGCTTCCACATCTTAGAACCTGGTTAATGTAGTACCAAAGTTTTAAAATTTCTTGGAAGAGTCCTATATGGCAACTACACTACTTCACATATTATGGTGTTTTGTTGTGTGAACTTGCAGGGTTTCAGTTGAGATGGTATAAGCCATCCAAATCTTTAAGCATTTTAACTTGTGATCAGTTTAGCAGGTTTGTTAAAAAAAAACAAAAAACCCCCAAAAAACCCCAACAACTTCTCTTTCCGCCTAAAAGTTAACTAACCGCTGTGCTGTAAAATATGAGCAGGAAATCACTCAAACACACATGAGTCATGGTAAACCTTGCCATGACACTCGCCATCCTGACATTCAGAGAGCCAATATGCCCTTGACTTTAACCTTTGTTGGAGAGCCAGTTAAGTGTAACAGTGCACTGTCATCTGGTCATACAAGAACAGTGGTGTTGAAGAGACAGATAAGGAGGATGGTGACCTAGGAAATTTGCATGAAAATTTAGGTAACATGACTGTGACAAAACTCAACCAAGCTGACATATTATAATCAAACTGACTCAAAGTAGTGAAGAGTAGAAGAGAGTAGTTGATTCAGCCATCAGCTGATGCAAGATTAATTGCCAACAATTTGGATTAAGGCAGTAAACTATCAATTATATCTATTTTCCTTTACTCTGCTGATTACTTCCTTAATTGATTGTTCAATAAAATGTCAGAAAATATAGAAATATCACAAATGCTTTAATTGGCTGGTTTGTCAGTCCAAAACCAGAATATATTCCATCACCTATCACATAAGGTGAAAATAAACCAGCAAATCCTCACAACTGATAACTGGAACTACAGAATGTTTGGCACTTCAACTTGAGGATTAATTGATGATCAAAATAGCTGCTGATTAATTTTCTGTCATCGGACTAATTTTGTTAATCGATTAGCATTCATTTTGATATTTGTCGTTTTAGTCGTTTAAGTGAAAAGCAAAAATATTAACTTTAGTTCCACCTTCCCAAATAGACGGATTTTGTATCATTGTAAACGGAAGAATGAGCATTTTTCACTATTTACGATTATACTAATCGGGGGAAACGGATAACTTAACGTTACGAAGATTTAAAACAATCGTTAATCTGTGTCCTACTCCTACTGTAACATGCCAAATTTAGAAATAATCAAACAGTACACAACCAATATGACTTGCTTTGGGATCAGGTGATGTTGTAACGTTAAATGACGTTAGCACGTCTCGGTTGTTATGTCTCAAAGTTAACTCAAATGAACTGACCGATAAACTTAGTGGAAGTTGTTGGCAATCACGCAGCTTGTCAGCTACACACTAAGAAAGCAGCTGAGACTTTTGGATATCTGTTGTTACAAAAAACTGGTAGTGCTGACTAAACTTACAGCGGACTAAATAACTCATGCTAAGCTAACGTTAGCTTCAAGTGGTGTTGGCCCTGTCGCTCTCTGTCACACTCAAAACACCAAAGAAACAGCGAGTTCGCTTACCAACATCTTGATCAAATGGGTTCTGGGCAAATAAAGGCATCGTAACGATTTAAATAAAGAGCCTGACTACTTGACAAAAGACACGTATGTGTGTTCTCGGACTAAACCTAAACAAATATCTCTTCCTTGTCCATTAATCGCGAACTAGTTACTCTTCCGGAAACTTGGCTGCCTTGGATAATGCCTGAACAGTGCTTTTAAAAACCGTAATGCCGCGGGTAAATTATACACTTTTAATAGTTGTACTGCGTTTAATTAGTTTAGTTTTAACCATCAAAAGTACAGCACGTTGACATAAATTCCTATAAAAATTTTTCCAACATTGGGCACTTGCGTTGAACACCTCTGTTAACTCTAATGCGGCAAGTAAAACACTGACATCTAGTGGGGGAAAGAGGAACATGACCGCACAAAGACTTATTTTATCCTCATTTCATCATGTCCAGCACAGTCACAGTAAAGTCAGAGTAGTGGTTCTAACCCAGCCCATTAGATTTGAATATACCTTTAAAGTGCTGAATCTTAACTTTAGATTGAGATTTACAGCCATATCAGCTCAACCGTGTGGGATTTGTAGCCCTTCTACACAGTCATCCAGTTTTTGCACAATGTAGCAGGACAACAATCCTAAACCCACAATCAGAATCAGAATACAAAAGATAAATTATCCCCGATGTCACAGATACTTGCATGGCATAAAAGGATCAGAAATAATTGTAGAAGTTGGTAAGTAGAGAGTATAGTAAAGTACAAAAATCTAAGAATACAATAACAAATTATAATAAATGTGGATGTATATAGTATTATACAGTATTAATAGAAGTGTAATGATACATAGCAATATAAAGTAGTATTATACAGTATTAGTATTAGTTATTTACTTGATTTTGACTGATCAAAAAATGGATCACGTGTTTCACTTGCTGAAGCAAGAAGCAAATGTGACTGCAGTGCAGGGCTGACAGAGCATCACCAGGGAAATGACCAAGTGTTGGTGACGGTTGGTCATTGCAAAGGATTTCACACCAAATAGTAAATAAGTTCACTTTTGTGGGTCCTCAAGCAATTTGGTCACTCCTTAAGCAATCAGTTTTAATCAATTAACATAAAGAATCACTTTCTTTATTAATATGCATATTACACTAACTTGTGATAACCAGCAACAGATGCAATTATTGAAAATTGTGTGTGGTTTTGTCTGACTTTTAAATTGTTTGGCATTCTATTTGTTGTCACCTGTGACTGATGATCACTCCATTGTCTTCTGAATGAAAATACATTTTTCGGAATTTCATTTATATTAAAAGGGATAAGGCACATGAATACACATTTTACTACAAAGATGCCAGATTAAGCCAGAAGACTAATTTTCATCTGTAGTCCCCGGCAGGTCAATTCATTACAGAGATCAATATAATGAAAATACGACAGACAATAGAAAGAATAATACAATACAATAAACCACAATGAAATCACATATAAATATAAATGCAAGTGCAAGTAAATACGTTGTAAAATACAAGTTATAAAGAAACGCAGTTTAAAGTGCTATTAATGCAATAAAGTGCTATAATATGCGAATAAGTTCAATTCAACCTATTAAAAGTGCTATTCAGTGCAGTAAAGTGCTCCAGCTGAATGATCCCACAAGGTGCTTCACAATGGCCTTGAAGACTGGACACCTGTTGTTTATTGCCATTGTTTTTGAGATATGTATACACAATGCGATACCTGGGGAAATGGGTTTTCTTTGAAGATCGCTGACGGATCAAAACACAACAGTATGTGGTCTGAGAGTCTGGGACGCGCAACAGGGGGAATTGACAAAGATTCCAAAAATAGCTCAAGATAATTCCTGTTCTAGCGATCCTATTCAGGTCTGGCGGCACCCGAGAGACATATAACCTAGATATGATTTACACAAAAATAAAGAGTTCCCATAAATACCTTAAATCAATAATTAGTCACACATTGAAAGTTGCACCGACTTTAAATTCGATATACGAGTGAGAGCGTCTCAAAGCGAAAGCGGAAGTATGAAGAAGTTAATCCTCTCGCTTCAGGACGACACTTCCGGGTCTAGCCCCCTGTTCCTATCCTAACCTGACAGCCGTAGCCGCCGTCGTCCAGGACCAAAGACCTTTGAGGGTTGTAGTCATGTCGGCAGCTGCTCCGGGGACCAGCAAGGCGGCCCACAGTGATGTGGCCCCGAAAAAAAAGAAGGGACCCGGTGCCCTGGCCACGGCCTACCTGGTCATTTACAACGTTGTTATGACAGCGGGGTATGTAGCGTGTTTCCTCGTGCTAATGCTGCTGTGGTGAAGCGTCTGTGTATTCGTGTATGCGCTGTTGAGGAAGACATGAATGAATAATATGAGAAATATTTCCCCGTTGTAGTGTTACGGCGTTATTTTTTGGATTATGAATCTGGAAATTGTAATATAGTTATTATTGGAAACCATGCTAGCATGCTGTGAAGCTGTGAGTGTGCTTCCCCAGCGTCCAACGGTTTATACAGATTAACGGTAGATGAGCAACAGACAACCACCTGGCGTGCACATTCCTTTAAACAGCATACAATAAGGAAATATTAATTCAGATGGCTTATTATCTGCACTCAGTGTTTGTTTTGTTTTTTGTTTTTTTACACCAGAAAGTGTGGGGTTGCATTGTCATTATTTTAGCAGGGCAACGCTTTAATTTGAGTTGTATTAATTACAAAAGTTAAAATCAGACAAATGACATAACGTTAGACATTACAATGAAAAATATTGTGCAGGGAGAAGAAAAAGAGCCAGCTAAGGGCTTATTAAGGACCCCTTTATCACTGAAATTAGCTAACGTCAGTGGGATGTTGGAAGATTCAATGACTGGTTGAGTAAGAAGGAACCTGTGAATTTGTTTGAAACTAACACATGACATTATATGGAAAGTTTTCTTCAGAATTGTATCTTGTATGCAAAAATACATCTTTGGATTTCACATTTATATGAAAAAAATTGTAAGAAGTTAAGATGATTAATTAGAAGTTAATCAGGTTGTCCCAGTAACTCAAGTTCCTGTCAATAATGATTCTGACCCTCCTTATCTTACTATTCAACCGCTATACCATATGGTCCAGCAACTATAGTTATTATCATAATCAAAATTGGATGGATTTTATTGCATAGCATTTTGCAATTTAAATGATTACAGTTGGATTTGTGTTACAGCAGCAAGACGTCCATTTTATAACCGCCATTGCCTGGCCCAGATAATGAGAAATCTCTGTGTTGCACTGGTTTTTAGACTGTTGCACAACTGAATGGGGGTGTTGTTTGCTCGCTGTCCCAACCAGTTAGGTCACATACGTCTCAGTGCTGATGAGCCATAAAGTGCTTGCTTTGTATTGAGCACACATTAGGGTGTTGTAGACCCATATTTTTGCTGTTTAAATGCAGTGTCTGCATTCAGATGCTGTCATAGCAGCTAAGCAGGCATGCTCAGTTTCTGCCCAGTTGGCCCTGACATTTATATTCATCACTGCCTCCGACTGATTGAAGTGACATTCTTGGTGAAAGCAAAGTGTGAACTGAAACTTCAATCCTGCTAAGGTCTAATCTAGTAATGTAATGCATTACATTGCATTATTAGAATCATTTGTTTATTGTATCTGCTCAAACCCTTATCAGGCCACAGTCCTCTACCCATAAAATATGCCTACCTGGCTCAATATGAACTATGCACCTAGTTAGTTAATAGAGAAAAAGATTTATAAAAACGATTATTGGCTTCCAAACTAGATAGTAGATTAATGTTTTGAAAAATTAGTATGAGGTGGTTGATATAATTGACCAATTTTAGATTATTAATATCCGCATTTGAGTTTATGTTGGCTGCAGCTTCAAATGTTTTAAAGGCTGCATTTTTATGTACCTGACATAAATTTTTTCTTAAAAAAATATATTAAAGTATATAGTTTAAAAAAAATCTTTTATTTAAAATAATTGAATTTCAAATGAAGTGTACTTGTGTTCAAAATGTATTATTGAATTGTATTAACTTTTACTATCATCCTTGGTAATAAAGCTTGTTATTCAACTGTGAAATATCCTGTAATATAAAATATCATTTTCATCTGAACTTGTATATAAACAAATTAGAGGGACCCTTGACAAACAATTTTAGTGGTATATATTGTATATATTTTTCTTAAATGTGGAAAGCCCTTAAAAATCCAGTGTCTCTTGCCAAAATATCAGAATACATTTTCAATTTTTTCCTATAAGGAATTGTTATATTTATTATTATTATTATACCATATATTATACTTATTTTATAAACTCATCAGTTCTTAAACTTCTGTGGCTGGAGTTATCTGTCATATTGCACTCCCTGTCACTCCAGAATCCTTTATTCAAAACAGAAACCACACATGTCTAACACAGATTTCTGTTTCCATGATAAGATTGTCTGGTAGATCTCGTTCAGTTTTTGCAACAACAATACTGTGACCCCCCCCCCCCCCCCCCCCCCCCGCTCTCCAGGTGGCTGGTGATAGCTGTGGGTCTGGTCAGAGCTTACCTGGCCAGAGGAAGCTACCATGGGCTGTACTACTCCATAGAGAAGCCCCTGAAGTTCTTTCAGACTGGGGCTATTCTGGAGGTGAGATAAAGCACAAATATCTGGGCATTGTTGACAAAATCAAATATTACAATATATTTGATTAAATACGGTGTGTGTATTTATCTCAAAGACGACTATTATTGCTATCATCAGCGCACAAAATCCATTTTATGTTTGCAGCATTCAAGTCACCTTTTATTAAAGTGTTTCACGTAATGATTTCACAGCAGTGTTGATGCTTATAGTTACATTATTAAGTTGTCTAAGCAGACAGTTGGAAACCAACTGTGAGGATGTTGGTGTTTGCGTTCACATTGCTAAATGGATGAATGAATGAATCAGCAAAAACTGGTTTACTTATTAATCCCAGACTGTGTCAACTGCTAGAAAAATCATCAAGTCAATAAAAGCTGCCCAAGTCTTGGATTCAAGTCTGTATGTGTGGAGTGGCATAGGCCTGTTATCTGTACAGTGTTTGGTATGATCAGCGTGGTGACATGCCTGGCCACACCAAGTTAAAGGCATAGAATCCAAAAAATACTGGATAGTAATTGTAAGAATTCAAACTAATATAAATACAGTGGACGAAATTTACAGAGATAATCGAAGCCCCCTGCTGCTTCAAAACTAGCTAAGAGAATTGTCTAGTGCATTCACATGTGGTAATCATGCTCACGCACACACATACAAATAATTCAATAGGTGTTTCAGTGAGCCTGTCCAGACACACTGTAGCTCAGTGATAGTGTCAGTATCTCCCATTCATGAGATAATCTGTCCACAGACTGACCACTACCATCGCCTTGGCATTTAATTGATCTTAATAGTGTCAGTTGTTTTCGAGAATTAAAGTTTGACTGAAACATAACACATTATGTAGAATAAAGTCAGTTTTTGTATTATAGAGTTGTGCACATTAAAAAAAATCATCTTAAGTATGTCTTGAGAATATTAGTTCATCTTCAAATCAATAATAATAATAATAGTATATAAAAATTAGCATGATTTTACAGTATTAATCCAAAAGCAAGCCATATAAATTAAAATAAGCTGTCGTGTGTGCTCCACTTCCAGAGGCATATTGAATAACTTTCTGTTATCTTTTCCTTTCACAGATACTGCACTGTGCTCTAGGTGAGTCTCTCTTTAGCCTCCACCCTCACCTCCACTGCTTTCTGTTATCAGTAAAACATCAGTCTTGCACAGGACATTTCAGAGAGTATCACAGACCATTTTACCATTTATTAGTGTGGCACTGTTTCTCATTACAATTTGACTTGTCAAAATGTTAATTGCAGATATCTCTAATTACATTACATGGGGTTGTATGAAATCACACACTGCGGTTTTGTTTGATATGTGAATTCCACACATCTCCATTTTAAATATCCAAGAGACACACTTTTAACATGGCGGTGCAACATGGCGCGTCCATGGAAGGGTGGACCCGCGGTTATGTAGATAGAAATGGCTCATTCTGATGTCTTGTGCAGACTACACGACTTTCAGCTTTGGCCGATGGCTGTGCCGTTCACTATACACAACTTGCCGTCTTGAGTCGTTGTGGCATTCACACTACATGACTGATCGGTGTCAGGGGGTCACACACTACACGAGCTGACAGCAGCTGTGTCAGCCAACGCTGGTCTCCAAACCACGTTTTGTCAAGAAAACACACGGGAAATGGGAATGACGTGAACCTACACACGAAACAGCTGTTGTTTGTTATTATAAAGATAGCAATTATAAAGACAAAAAATAAGCGGCAAATCAGGCTAAAAATTGTGTAGTGTGAACTAGGCTTTATGTAATAAAAACATAACAGTTCATTATGTAATGTACCACTGAAAACAGAGTTATTATATTGCATTTCTGTCAATAGATCCTCAGAAATATTACACACTGGACCTTTAATTCAGGCAACCCCCCCAACAAGTCAATCATAATATTTTGGTGTTCATGTTGTTTCTCTTCTTTATTGTAATTGCCATACAGACCTAAGAACAGTGGTGCTGCCATTTTGGCAGTTACTTTGAATTTAGCACAGAGTCTACGCCAACCTTATTTAGGATTCCTAACTTAGGAAATTCTTCAGTTAGGATGTTTGCAATAGCTGAAATCCTGTCCTAAGATAAGAGGATTTTTTCTAAATATTTCTTTAATACCCATAACTCCAAAATGTCATCCTAAACTGAGATAAGATAGGATTTTAGACTTAGGATGTTTCTGTAATGAGGTTTGCAAAATTCCATATTATTTCTAAAGCCTTGCATCAGTTACATCATGCACAACCAATTTTACCATTCAAAATGATAATAACTGTAAGACTCTGAATGTATCATTTTGGCTAATCTAAGCAGAATCATAGAAATCTTGTTGTCATTTGGTATGTTTGAGGAGTTGAATGACACCACCAGTAATGTCATTATAGGTATCTTAAAAGTAATTTTTACTGGTCAAAATATGTTTGCAGATATCTCATAACTCATTGTGACAAGTCAGCAAATCTTACAGTGTGATTTTGACTGGTCTCATTATAATTATGACTGGTCAGATTGCATTTGTAGATGTATCTCAGATGTAAATATGTACAGACAAACAAAAGCTTTTCATAGCACAACTCACAGATCTAGGTTCCCCTCTACTGGCCAGTTGAAGACACTGCATCTAGAGCTCATACAGTACATTTACAGTATTATACATTTAAAACAAGCATAAAGAAGAGCATTAGCTCGAAACGCCTCTAGTGGATGTATTACACTTATTGTGCGGGCCTTTTTTCATGTTTTCTAATTAAACATTTGCCATTAAAATGTTGTCCAATTTATTTAGGCATAAACAAAGTATTTTACCGTTTTTTGGGAGACAGATTTTATTTCCTCCTGCAGTCAAGCACTCTATTCCACATGACAACCATTGTTTTTCTGACCAGTTTGTGTTGTGATGATTTAAAAAGGAAACTTTAACTGCAGAGGTCCATGTAAGCTGTTTTCCAAAAGTAAAACAGCAACAGAGGAAAAAAAGGAATTTAGGCCCAGAAAACCAACTCCTTCCAAAATAAATGACATTAGTCATTAGTAGGCATCCATTTCTCTTCTGGTCCCACTTTTAGTAACTGAACTCACATATTAGGCTTGTGAAACTTTCCGTTTTATTTTTCTAGGAACATTAAATACATATTTATATTTTTGTAAAAGCAGTGACTAAGAAATAGTCATCAGTGATTAGTCCTAATATCTAAACTGGAGCTGCAAATAACCTCACATTTCTGAATCAGAAGAGTTTCTATTCGATGAACCAAGATTAATTGGATTATCAAAAACAGATTGCAGATTCATTTTCTGTCTATAATCTATTGATTGATGTATTGTCTTGGCTATCTTAAGCATCTAAACATATAAAGATTGATCTAATGGTTAGAATAGACAAATCCAACTTTTACTTAAATTACACTTCCACAAAAAGAAAACACACACCCACTCACATAGTATATTCAGTATATATAATTCATATGTTCAGTGTGTGCAGTGACTACCAGTACTCTTGCATCCTTATATGTAAGCATTTGTGTTTTGTCTCATATCCCAGGAATCGTACCGTCCTCTGTGGTCCTAACTGGATTCCAGGTCATGTCCCGGGTCTTTCTCACCTGGGCCGTCACACACAGTGTCAGAGAGGTAAGATGGGTTTCGCTCTGTTTCCTTACTTACACACAATAAATAGTAAATCAGTAGTAAAACAGTATGACATGGCAGTGTAAATGTAAACATGGATTCATGTTGGAAAGTGACCAGCTGATGTACTGTTTGCCCTGTTAATAGATCGGAGAGGAGTAAATGTGTAAGTAAAGTCAGATGGTCTTGCTGTAGGGCTGAATTTTGGTGAATTTTTCTGTCATTCCCTTTTATGTCTGTGTGGAATCTTTATTTAGACTTATGTATGATCAGAAGTGTGCTTTTTTTTTTTTAACACCATATAAGCATCGGTTTTAATCTAATATCTGTGGATAGTGACCATCTGCCTGCAGTGTGATCTGATCTCTGAGCATCTGAAACAAACAGCATGGTTCTGCCATTAAAAAGTCTAGATTCGCCCACAACAGAGTAACTACCGCAGCATGATGCAAGCACGTCTTTCTCTCTGTCCTTCTTCACAATCATCGCTCGCGTGTGCTTCTGCAGGTGCAGAGTGAGGACAGTGTGCTGCTGTTTGTCACAGCCTGGACCGTGACAGAGATCATCCGCTACTCTTTCTACACCTTCAGCCTGCTCAATCACCTGCCTTACCTCATCAAATGGGCAAGGTAGGGAAATCAAAACCTAATGGGGGTGTCGGAGCAGTGAAACGGTGGTACCTCAGTCTACTCATTAGACACATGGGTGAACACTCATTTAAGAAATTGGTTATTCGGTAAGTACTGGGTCAATCATCAATACTTGAATACTGAATGAATTAAGTCAGTTGGTCAGAGTATTGACAAATGTTAACTTCTCTGATCAGATATTTCTTTATTTAAAGCCATGATTTTATCAGACACTAATGATTATTTACATTATTGACCATCCAAGGTTTCTTGCGCCCAAGGCAACATCTTCAGATTACTTGTTCTGATTGACCAACAGAGACGGGAAGCAAGAGATATTAAATTTACAATGAAATATGACAAAGAAAAGCAGCAAATACTCACACTTGATAAGTTGGAACCAGTAATACTTTGCCATTTTTGATTAACAAAAAAGTTGCTGATTATTTTTGTCAATAAAACAAATTGTTTGAGCTCCAACTGTATTTTAGTAAGACTTCATTTTATGATCTACAAAGTTCTGATGGCATTTCACACAATGTTTTGACATGTATTACACAAAATGATGAATCAGTTAATCAGATTATAGAATTGACAGATTAATTGATAATAAATATATAAAAAACTAAACTCTTGATAAAAATGTTGTAGTATTTAGTAGTGATGCTGAAACTCAGCAGTTTGTATTGGTACCTGTGTTGAAACATTTCAGACTATACCCGACTCTAAATTTCACTGAACAGTAATAATAATGATGTTGAACCTTCAAGGATAGTTTTATGGAATATTGTTTAACATTTGCAATTAAACCAACCAAGTGAAATATATTGTATTTGCTTTGTTATGCTTGTTAATTGTTGCAAAAGGTAATTTGTTATATTACTCTTTACATTACCTCATTTAAAACCTAAACAGATATGTAACTGTTTTTGTAGACAATATAATGAGATAGGTTCATGAGGCTTATGAATGTGACACTGTTACAGGAGAAATTATTGTTACAGTAGCACATCACTCTTTAGAGGTATTACTTCCAAAATTGATAGTTATTTTAAAAACAAATTCTTCAAATCTAAAGAAAATCTTGTGCAATTTCCCCATAACAATCTATATCTGTTCACCTTCTTAATGTGATTCATCTACATCTTCAACCAAGGCAACAGTTGTTACGTGCCTCCCTCCCCGCGGTCTTTGTTGCTAGGTAGCAAATGAGTCCATCGCTATATTGGTATTCGACTTTCTGTTTGAGTTGCACCCTGAGAGGCAGAAAAATTGGTTGTGCGTCTGTGGAACATTCTGTGAAGGATCAGAGGAGACAGTCGCTGGGTTTGGAGTGCTAGTTAGGGAAGAGGTTCAGCGTTTTATTTTCTCTCTTTTATGTTTATTCTCGCTGTAAAGAAAATGAGTTCAGGATCTCTCTTCCTCCTTCATCCTTCAACAGTTCTATGATTAGAAAAATTTTGAAGCATACAGAGGTTTTTTTTTTGGAATTTTCTCATCTGCAGCACATTGTATTGGTTCCTTTCTATATCAAAATATTTTGTTTTAGATGTAATAATCATCATATACATCATGGTATATGATTTCTGCTAGCTGTTTGATTTCATCACAACAGCTGCAGGACAACTTTGGGATTTTATTTGTGTTTTGTGATTTAAAACTGTGAATTCAGCCTTTTTTACTGAAATTTACTGAAATGATGGTGTTTACAAATTGATTTGTCAGTGTTGATGATTATTTACTTGAATCATTGCCTACCTGAGCACATTCTCAAGCATTCCTCATCTCTTTTATTGGTCTGTCTGACATTGCTTAAGTTTAGAGCTGCACTGGTTAACAATGCAGTACGTTGCGGCACAAACAGTAAAAAATCCAAATCAATGTCATGCATATGTCCTTCGGTGTGTTGCTGTTCATACCAGTATTGCAGAATCAATGAAAAATGAAGATGCATGATTTATTATTTCTCTGTCACAAACCCGTCTGCTGCAGGTACACCTTTTTCATTGTGCTGTATCCCATGGGAGTGACTGGAGAACTGCTGACTATCTATGCAGCGCTGCCAAACGTGCAGAAGACGGGCCTGTACTCTGTCACCCTCCCCAACAAGTACAATTTCTCTTTCGACTACTACACCTTCCTCATCCTCATCATGATCTCCTACATTCCCCGTAAGTCAACATGCAGATTTAACTTTTTTTCCCCCTTTTGTGATGACCGTAAACAGGCAGCGATGATATTGTGCTTCCAGCAAGAATTTACTTTGAATCATAAATTTACAGAAGTTCATTGCATTTGACAAAAAAGAAGACTTTCTTGAAATAATAACTTTGTTATCTCATTATTATGATTAGAACTGTGCAGATGTCAGCTGTAGTAGCTATGGTAGATGGCAACATACCCACCAGCCGTGTATGTGAGTGTGCCTGTTCCGTGTTTGTGTGGCAGCTCAAATTCTGTTTTGAAAATTTACTGAAACTTCGCATTGTTTTCATTAAGCATCTCACATTTTCCTCCTTGCCTTGGTACGTCCATGATTTGGAATCATAAATCTTCAGGATAAGTGTGAAGTTTTACCTCTAGTTGAAACATTTACAACCCTCGTGGATGTACTTTTGCGACCTTCACAGCAAATATGTGTCTGTTTGGGTCTTTCCACATTTTGTATGCAGTCGCGTCACTTGAGTTGAACACACCTTAATAGTCATCACCACTGACAATTAAATCAGGTAGTGTCATCACATAATGAGATATGATTATGAGATCATCTATCACATAATTAATAAATAATAGTTTTGTAATGATTATCAAAGTTACAAATTATGAAAGTCGCAATTGTTAGAAAACATTTCCATTTTTTTGTCTTGTTTTTTTTATTATTCAATAACGCGGCCATAAATTCTGCCTTTATTATATATATATATATATATATATAAATTTATTTTATAATGTTCAGTTTATGTTGACATAGTCAGAAATGTGTAAGTTCAATCGTGTGTTCATTATTGAGGTTATAGTTAAAGGTAGTGTTGTACTGGACTGGATATTACATTGACAGGTGTTTCTCATTTTTTAATATTCCCTGTTTGTACTTAATGCAGTCCAGTACAACACCATTACTAACTATGACCTCAATAATTAAGGTAACACCTTTTATGAAAGTGCAAAAAAACTGAACATTATAGGCATGAAAAAAAGACTTTATAGCAGAACAGTTGTAATGGTTTACCTTGTGATTGTACACTTTCACCTAATAAAGTGGCCACTGAGTGTGTAAAAAAAAAAACACAGAAAAAAAAGATTCTTTATGCTGTTGTTCTAGTGTGACTTAAAACTCACTCAGTCTGTTGGTAGCATACTGATCTTCCTCTGCCTCCCCCCCAGTCTTCCCCCAGCTTTACTTTCACATGATACGGCAGAGGAAGAAGGTTCTGGGCCACGTAGAGGACTACAGCAAAGTGGAGTGAGCCCAACCGCATTCAGACAGATCTGATCGAGGCACAAGAAACCAAAACAGCCAACAGAAGAGGAACAAAATTGCGTCTACTTACAGAAACGCAAAGCCCAGCCAGTTTTCAAAACTGCCAGAACCGCCCTGGCAGAAGAATCAATTATCAAGCAACTTTATTTTTTCCAACTATTTCCCAGGGTTGTGTAGGTGTTCACAAATCATGAACAAACTGGTGTAATTTTTTTGTTGTTTTTATTTATGAACAAACTGCAGTTACCTTTGTTTAGTCAGAGAGCTTGTAGCTGTAAAGAAACTGTATTTTGACTTGGATACAGTTGACCTGCCGTCTGATCAGTGAGCAGAACTCATCACAGCAAGGCATTAAACTGAATGATGCACTGATAGAATCGATAACCTCCTTTTAAATGTCACTATAGAAAATCCCTAAGATTTTTCTCCTCCCCATGGCTCGTATCTTGGTCTCTTTTAAGTAGCAGTTGTGCTTTACTACGATGTAGAAAGACTAATGTGAAGACTAGTACTGAAACTGGGTTGTCTGTAGGTTTTTCATCTACATGGTGTGTTTGTTGGTGCAAACTGTGGTCCAGATTTGTCTTTTTGTTTTTTGTTTTCTTTCATTCATTTCAGTCAAACGTTTAATTACATTCCTAATTTAATTCAATAAACATTTTTCATTCTGTGCTCTCATGGTTTTCTGTTTTTCTCTTGTGTTAGCTGATGTTTGCTTGGATGTGGTTTTGACTTTTGTTGCATTCTTAGTGGGCTTAGATCGATAATGTTGACTCTTTAAAAGCTTAGGTTTCCCAAGTTTCCCAGTGATGATTGTGATTGTTTTTCTTTTGATTTCATCATCGTTTGATGTTTAGGTGGTTTATACATTAATAATGTAAAGCAGCCAGTTTGTTTACCTGTCACAAATCCATTTAAGTGAGCCAACATTTCTTCCCTCTTTATGTGATGCATTTTCTTTCTATTTTATCTTTTAAAAATAACTCGTGTTAATTTTTTAGCTCCAATAAAGTGATACTTTGTAAAGCATTTAAATTAGAACATGCACACCTTCATTCATGTTTTATTAAGCTCTCATTAAGTCTTCATCCCATTACAAATTATTTAAAGAGGTCAGTGTGTCATTTAAGTGAGTTGTTAAATACATTTATTAAAAATTAAGACATTAAGTTATGGGACATTTAAGCAAAAGAGAACAGATAGTGCAGCGTAGAGTAGCAACCGTGTTTTCCGATGAAATATGTTTTGATATGTAACAAAACTGCATTGTAGCCCAAATATATGTTGGATGTTTAACTTTATGGACTTATTTTAAAATACAGAGTAATGACCCTATACTTTGTTTGGTAAAACTGGTGGCCATTAATTTTATATATAGCTATGTCAGCTGAAATACTATTTCTAAGTGACCCGTCCTTGTCGGTGTGGAACTAGTACTCCGGATGGAAGCAAACACACTAAAGTAAAAGTAAAATCAGTTAGTGAGCTTGTAGTCATGCCTTTTCAGTTATGTGCATCTAAAGAGTACAAAGAGAGCAGTGAATCAGACTAGTTCCACCTTTTCTTTACCTGATGAAAAGTGACACGTTTTGTTTGGAATGGTCATATTTGATGCAGCTTCTATGGTGTTAGCTTTTTTTCAACAATGTTAAATTTGTTGTAATGCTGACAGCTTGATATTCTGTCGGGCTCAGGGTGCAGCTGCTCTGTCAAAGAGTAACTTTACACCCGGCTGAAAAGCATTCTGTTGTTGACATGTTTTAGTTGAAACTGTCTGCTGCCCTTCAGAGTACATTTTTACACCCCTGCAGCAAAGTGAGAACCTCAACCACTTGAGGTCAGAAAAAAACCCACCAACATTTTCTGCTTAAGTTACTCTTTAAATGGTCTGTTCACCGAAATTAAAAAGACAAGATAAAGATAACGTATTTTCTCATACCTCTGGTGGTCTCTAGCCATGTAGACAGATTTTGAGATTTCTCCATCCCATTTGAGGAGTCTCCGTCCCAGTACATTGGAAGGTGAATAGAATTTAGTTATGGTAATCACAGTATTGGAAAATGACATATTTAAAGTTCAACAGCAACGTATATTACAAAGTAACAGTCCTTGTCTCTGGATCATTGCCAGACTCCCTTATAGAAAAAACTGTGTGCCCCGCCCCTTCCTGAATGGAACCACTGCTCTGGATAGTCCACCTAGCAAGCTGTCAATATTTTTTTTCTAGGGTTTTATTTCTTTTGAAGAGAGAAGTTTGAATGACACTTGTCCACAGTTAGGTCTGCGGATTATTGAGAGTGACCGGAATGCTAGATATTTTAATTTATATTTTTAGTGCCACAAAGAAAATACCATTCGCATTCAATGTACTGGATTGGAGACAGAAATCTCAGAAACTGATGAAAACCATGGTATCTCTAAATGTTTTTTTTTTATATTTGGTGAGCCTTAAATGCTTCCAAGCCCAGTGGCTACTGCCATGTATTCTTTAAAATGTCAGAAGCTAACATCCATCAGTGTGCATCTTTTAAGCATTTATTATCATTACTCCAAAACATACATATTGCTAAAGTCCTGCTCTCTGTTGTGATCATAAACAAACCTGTCTTACACACCTTTACTCTGTAGCAAAGTGAGCAGCTAGTGGCTGTAATGTCAAATCCAGCCTTTGTGCTCTTTCCCCCCTCTTTCCCATAAATGGTTGAGCATGATTTGAGATACTTGTTGGAAATGTCTTGCAGAAGCAGAAGTGCAGCTTATTGTAAAACTGCATGAAAGAGGAAATCTGGATGCCTGGAATGATGGTCTGTGTTACAACCTTAAAAAAGAAAAAGTCAAAAGCATGGCATATGTTACTCCAGAAATGGTTCTACTGAATAAAGTTTTGATACAAATGTTTTGCATGGGGCCAGCCGACTTTGTACAGGTATGAATAATGAGTATATATTTACAATAAACCTATAATATTGGAAGCATATTCACTATTGTTTATTATATAGATGTAACTTGCACCGATTGATGGTTAACAAGTGATAGCGTTCTGATAATTCAGGGGAAAAGTGGATGGTGTCTGTGCATTAAATTTTCCTGTACCAGTGACTCATTCACTCATACACCACGTAGGTGGGACCATTGTCTGTTTAGCAGACAATTTAGCAGCACTGGAAGGTTTCACCAGCTCAATACAAACTGACTCCAAAGTATCTTAAATCCCATTAGCTACACTGTTGTGCATTCAGGCTAATGAAAATGGATTTGATGCATGTAGCAGGCCTGGATATGCACTTCACTGAATGGCTGTGCCTTTGTGCTGCTGTTGAGATCAGATCACTTGCTTTTGATGTATAGCATCTATAGGTCAAGAGTGCAAATACTCGGCAGGCTCAGGTGCATTCAGGAGCAGCAGACAACACGCGACAACAACTCATTCTGTCATTGTCAGCCTGATTAAATGATGCAGAACGTATCACAAACAATCATAAATACTGTATGTATTGTACTCTAATAAAGTATATATACAGATAAAGAAAACAAAAAATCCAAATAGTATTTTCAGATATTGTTTATTTTATATGCCATGTTATGTATTAACTGTTGAAATGTGGATTAAAAATGATACAAAGGAAAAAGAAAACAATTAGAAAACAAGTAGATACAGTCAATACAGTCAAGGATGTGGAGTTCCAGAGGGAGGGGGCTGCAATGGTGAAATTTGGGGGTTATTTATTTACTTGAATTTGGCAGAGCTCCTTCAGAGGCACATAAGACATTATACAACTGTTGTCAAAGATTGAGTATGCCTTTCAAGATAAGCAATGCAAATCAGTTTAATTTAATTGGCCTCAATCGGCATGGGAAACAGATGCTTACATTTGCCAAAGCAAGTGTGAAAAAAACCCCACGTATATTAACAGAAGAATTGTGATCGTCAGTTAACTGACTAGTCCTGAGTGGATGCAGCGACACTGACTCTTCATTTACAGAAGATCAACCGTTTGTCTACAGCCACTCACTGTATGTTATGGCTACTATCACTAATGTTGGATATGACCTGAGGTTTTTTGTGCCAATACAGTACCAAATTTGGGTTCCAATACTGAAACACAACTTTTTTCACTTCCTTACTTAATGAAATATAAACATGTAAACATTTTTTTTCGTTTAACAAAAGTTCTCAAATGTTTTAAACAAGCAGTTGTACATGAATTTTGCCTAAAATAATAGGCAAAATGTTTTTGGACATCAGAATCTATCAGATCAAAGAATAAATAAACAGGATTGTAAATCTCTCAAAGCATTTCAGCCAGTTCAAAGAAAAGATACGTAGGTGGCCGAGAGTGAGTTCCACTTATTGCAGATACAGCATGCGCAATAGCAGATTGGATGGGACTGTGCGTGCGCATGTGCGTGTGTTTCATTGCACAATCCCCAGAGTGACTGTAAAGGTAGTTTCACCACCAGGATGAGTCACAACACTGCAGCGCTCATCATTCTCTCCCTTTTATGAAAGAAAAAATCATAGAACTCAGTCTTCCTCCTGTGTCTCAGAACGTACTAACAGCCTGCTGTGGGATTATTTGCCTTTGTCAGTTCTTGACGTCGTGATCCAGTACACACCTTGTTGTGCATCTTCACTTAATTCAGCCACTAGATCACACGTGTTGTGAATATCTGGGATGCCTGGTGCTATTTCAGACATCGCTAAATGGTTCATGCGGTTGATAATAATCAACACAGCGGAACACTAAAAATGTTTATTTTTGTGCAGATATTTGTCTGAATATTCACAATGCCTCAGATGTGATATTTGTCAGTGGACTGCATACAAAACTTGCCCTTGATTGGATTAATCAGTGTAGCCTGAGAATAAGACTGATTTTCCATTCCACTTAACCTCATTCATTCATTGTGATTATTCCTTTTTGAATCACTTAACAAAGTGTGGGCAGTGATTCTGAGGTCTGGAACCAGGGTAGAATCCAAACTCAGCTGCATATATCCTGGGTGTATTTCTCAGATATGGTGCATTTGGAGTTTAGGTTTTGCAGTGACAGCATATTTCAAATACAACCACATGGTTTATCAAGCACACCTGTGCACCCTTAGAAATGTAGAAAATATTTAAAAAGAAGACCAAAGAACAAAAACAACAGAGTGGAGCTTTCATGCACAACAAAAGGTAGACACACCACGGTAAACGGTATGTTTATTTAACCAAAATAAACCAAATTAAGTTAAAGATGTGCTAAGTTAAAGTTATTGAATGATGAAGCATGAACATCTGTTGTTTCAGTAGTGTCTGCGCAGGATGACGGATGCATCGGTAAGTGTGTGTGTAGGGGTGTCGTAATGTACAGGAAAACAAGGTAAATACAACTAACACAATATATCCAAAACCAAAACCAAAGGTAGAGCCTCTGGAGAGAAACAGTGCAGTCAGTTAGCAGGGAGGTGTGTCACCTCAGCCCAGCAGCAGCAGCCTAAGAATGAGGACAAGGAGGTACAAATACTCTACAGGACAATGAGCCCAGGTGCCCAGAGTCACTGTAATCAGCCTCAGCTCTTCACCTGCAAGGGAGAGAGGGATTGGCCACGCCCACACATGACCCTACAGGGCATCACAGTAGCAGCAGGATGAACCACAGGCGTAGAGGTGAAATGCTCTCCAGCAGCATCCA